CACTACCCAATTACTGTTCACCTCGTGTCAGTGCCAAGCATGCTATCCTAAATGAGATTGTAATTGCTCTTAATATTACCTCTTTATCGTGGTTTGGGTCAAGTATTGTGTCTTTGTGTTGCCTTATAGCCGTTGATTTATGTAGTAAGTTGCATTACAAAGAAGTTGTTGTTCAATTTGTGGGAATTAGAATTGGAGTACAAAGTGCACCTGAAATCTTTGTCTAACATTTGTTCCTGGTCTTATATTCAGCAACAAGGTTCTTCTGCAGCTACTGAAATGGAGACAAAGACTAAAGCTTGATTGCAAAAGATCTATGCAGCTGGTTCTACAGTGGAAGAAAATGTATGAAAACTTGCATTAGTATTGTGTAAATGAGCTTTTGGATGGAGATCAAGTTGGAGGTGCTAGTGGACACTCTTGAGGTGGTTTCCCTGTGCAGCACCTTTACTGTTTATAGGTACACATGATGACCATAACTATGCAACTCATAACTTTATTGCTATGCTTTTTGGAGAATTAGCTTTGTAATATGCATTTAGAGGTGTGTGCACTGTGATTGAAGTGATGCTGATACATCTTCTGGGGTTTTTTATTCTCCTTTTTTTGAGTCACCTAATGGATCAAAGCAAGGTTTTGGAACTAAGTTCACATCCATTATCTCATTTCTAAGATATTGATATGGTCAAAAAGATAATATCTTGTTCATCAATGCACCCAACTCCATGTTTTTCTTCAAATTTCAATTTGTATTTGTTCGGCTCTATGACTCACTAAGCATGCTAGAGTCCACTTGGACTCAGAATTGTCCTTCTAGGCTGGAATGTCTATCACCTCTGGGTGATATCAGGCATGTGGAGCAGTGAAGTTTATAACTGCCTCATAATTTCTAGTACTTCATAATTTCTAATCAAGAGGTTGGATCAATTCAACTTACACAGATAAACAAACATGCCAAGATCTAGAACAATGTAAGTAACAAGTTCACTCCATTAATGAACCAGTTTGTACGCATCATTTCTTTGACAGCCGGCTTGAATATGATCAATTGAAACTAAACTTCTGACTCTCAAATTTGATTTTCTGGGTAAGCATACATTCCATTGCCTAACTTTAATGTTAACATGAGTTATGCGAGTATTAAACATTGTTGCAACGGCTTGGAGCGAGTAAGGCATTACCTTACATCAACTCTAGCTTATAATATTCAGAGTCTAGTTATCATATCATTGGGACTTTTTAACTTTAGCTCTCTCACAGTGGTTGGTTTTGCATCAGGATCAGTCCAGGATCCCTATTGTTCAGAGCAGAAAGGTTGTGTGTGGTGGTCAGTTTGATTATGTAGATCCTGCAAACTGTTGAGCTTGGAGATGATATTTCAATGCACGGAGCTGGACCGATTCAAGTTTAAGAGACATTAAATGTAATTAGAGATGATTTAAATTCTCTTAAAGGATTAAAGCTATTTTTTCTATTTTTAGAACTTTTTGTTCTTTGATTCTTGTAATTCATTTTTTGTAGAAATAAAATTTTGTTTTTTTTAAAAAAAGATGTTAAATGTATTAATTATGTTAATTTTTATTGAACACATGTATTATTGGTGTACAGGTGAAAAATTTTATTAAAAATTATTTTTTTATGTAAAATAAAAAAAATTACCTTTTTTGCGACGAAATAAAAGTCGTCGCAAAAATTGCAGTACGCACCTTTTTCCGACGATTTTTTTTCATCGCAAATATATTTATTTAATTATTTTTTAGTTTTTTTAATTAAAAATATCATTTGAGACGATTTTTTTACGTCGCGAAAAATTAATTAAATTATTATTTTTGACATTTTTAATTTATGTAAAAATTATTTGCGACGTTTTTTTTACGTCGCCAAAAAATAAATTAAATTATTATATTTCCCATTTTTATTTATAAAAATTTATTTGCGACGATTTATTTACGTCGCGAAAAATTAATTTAATTAATATTTTTAACATTTTTAATTTATGTAAAAAATTATTCGCGACGATTTATTTACGTCGTGAAAAATTAATTTAATTAATATTTTTAACATTTTTTTATTTAAAAAATGTTTTTGTGAGCATTTATTTATGTCGCAAAAAATTAATTTATTTAATATTTTTAACATTTTTTTTTAAAAAATTTTTTGCAACAATTTATTTACATCGCGAAAAATTAATTTATTTATTATTTTTAACGTTTGTTATTTAAAACATTTTTTGCGACGATTTATTTGTGTTGCGAAAAATTAAACAATTATTATTTTAATATTTTTATGCTTTGAATAGGTTTTAGCTATGTTTTTGTAACTTTTGGCGACGATTTTTTTTTTTGTCACAAATTTTTTTTTTTCGATAAAATTAAATTTTCGTCACGAAATACTTTATGCGACGAGGCTATTGCGACGAACACGCGACAAAAAAAAATGTCGCAAAAAATAATTAGCGACGATTTGTTTACTTTTGGCGACGAAATAAATCGTCGCAAAAAACGATTTTTGTTGTAGTTAGGACAATGACGCAGAGTTCCGATCTCAGTGAAAGTCTGCACAAAAAGTCTCAATCTCTATAGTAGTACTATGACTAACCCTAGGACTTAAAGGGTCATATGTTGAGAAGAAGCGGGAACACCATCAAACCCTACTTTCCAAAAACAATAGAATCATTAGAACTCAGCTGCAAAGCACCGAGGGCATCAGACCTTGCCCTCTTAGGAAGAGGGGAAGTCACCATCCTAGTTACATAGAGAGCCTTTATCATTGATATATCAACCACGGGATCACATATGGAAGAGAGAATTTTCATAAATCAAAGACATCATCAATTTATCTGGGTCCTCCATTGTGTTGCCCATGGCACCGCCCAGCCTCACGCCTGCCTTGGTGTTGCCTTGGTTCATATCCATGACGCCACTCGCCAAAGCATCTCCATCTCCACGCGCTAAAGCGTCCTTGTTTCTTTTCATCCTCTCTCCAACAATGGTGTTACCAAATAGAGAAATAAGCTTAAAAAATGCAATGGAGTGGAAAGCTGAAGAAGTCACCGTATGGAACAAGATATCTGTTCTACTCAAATGAGGAATCTCACTCATGCCCTCAACCTCCAATCACTACTAGGGCGTGAGGCATGAGGGGAAAATGATGAGTCCAGATTTAAACTAGGTCTAGGCCTAGTTTATGGGTTGAGCCCAAATCATCAAAAGTCAAGTCAAGCTCAGCTCACAGGTTCAGCCTACTCCAAAAGTCTAAGAGATCTGGGAGGATCAATGCACATGAAGAGTAATTACCATGATAACCACTGCTCGGAGATCGAGGCTTTCTTTAATTATTTTTATCCTTAGCTGTAATTATCCTCCCAGAAGGACTAGTAACCTATCTCTCTACACACCCTTTACATAGTTATCTCTCTCTTAGCTACCAAACCTTTCTTAGAGCTTACTTTTGTTCTCTCTCTCTCTCTCTCTTTATTGCACCTTACTTTATTAATAAAAGTCTCCGGCCACCATTGCCGCCTTCGAAAGTGGAGTAAGTCCCCTGACCGAACCACTATATATCTGTGTATTATTTGTGTTAACTCAATCTCTGTCTCCTTCATTAATTGCTTTATTGATTACTCTGAATCATACACTCGATTGTTGATTGTGCATAACAGAGGGATCTACTCCACTTCTGAAGGCGGCAACGGTAGCCGGAGACTTTTATTAATAAAGTAAGGTGCGAGAGAGAGAGAGAGAGAGCAAAGGTAAGCTCTGGAAAAGGTTGGGTAGCTAGGAGAGGGATATCTATGTAAAGGGTGTGTAGAGAGATAGGTTACTAGTCCTTCGGAGAGGATATTTACATCTAAGGATAAAAACAATTAACGATAGTCTCGATCTTCGAGTAGTGGTTATCCTAGTAATTACTCCTCACCTGCGTTGATCCTCCTGAGTCTCTTATACTTCTAGACTGGGCTGAACCCATGAGTTGAGCTTGACCTGCCTTTTAATAATTTGGGCTCAACCCATAAACTGGATCCAGACTTGGTCTAAATCTGGGCTCATCATTTTCTATGGTTTTAGGTTGTTACTATTCCATATAAATGACTTGAAACCACCATATATTTTAAAACTTCTTAGAAAAACTTTAGATCAAGGATGAAGATATCAATTCTTGTTTCAATATGAATATGAGTAATGCTATATGGATTTAAAAACTAGATTTAAAATTAGACTTGATAATTATAGTCATTGATTTCACTGCGAGTCCCAACATTTATTGAAACTCATTACCGATTCAATAGTTGTGATTATCAAATTTACGTTTTAAATTCATGTAGCATTACTCTCTGAATATTCATATCTTGACATATCTTAAAAATTGACATGTATATCTTAGAAAATAAACTAGTTTTAGAGTTTAATTATATTATTAAGGTGTCTTAATAAGAATTGTTAGTGGGTAATCAATATATAAGGAGTGGAAGACAAGAATAATGGTGGTATGTAAATTCTCCTAGTAGTGGAGGAAATTGGTCTTAATGTTTTAGTAATTACAAGAGCAAGTAGAGGTAGTGATACTTTAATGTAATATTAGAGTTATGTTGAGAGCTTATATAAATAGGGTATGTGACCTAGTGTTAGAAGTACACAGAGTTGAGTAGAAGTTGTAGAGTCAAAGTTGAGCGTGTACTTTATAATCAACTTGAATGATTTTTTTTTTAAGTATTTATATTATCCTCTATTTCCTTCCATTTTCTTTCTAGTCTTCTTAACTCGGACAAAATGGTTTTAGACCAATTTTCTAACCGAAATAGCATTACAGTAATTCCAACAGTACCAACTATGACAACTCACCATCGCACAAACTGGTATAGATAGAAATTACTAGAGAATAAACTAGGTCATTGTAACATCACGGATTCGCATCATATAATACTATATGTTTTGGGGCTATGCCTGTACGATTTTGAAACATACTATAAAATGAAGGTTCAAAACTCAAACTTATACAAATCAAGCTCGACGATCCTTTGAGCAGTCCTCCCTAACAAATGAGAGGCTTGAATTGCCAATATCATATATGAACCTTACATTCTGTTGTTGGTATGCACCTAAAATTGTTTTACTTGGATGCCCTTTCATTTCAAGACAAAATGTGCTTCTTTCTAGCTTAAACAATGATGTCCTTGGAACTTCAAGATTAGCTCCTTGAAAATGAAATGTCATGCTTGGAAAACCATTGAACCCTCCTGAGTATCTGTAGCAAAGATCTCTTGTACCCTTTGTATCAGCAACTCTCTTGAGATTTCTAAATCGAACAAAATGTACAACAAATGCATTTAGCAAAAGGGTGTAAGCTCTTTGTTCAATGATGCTCTGTGTTCCACCAGAGTCGATGACGCAGCCACCGCTAAAGGTCCCCGGTGGGAGCACTAATCTTCTCCCATCAATGCTAATACCACTTAAGTTCAGTTTGTACCCTGTGTCTCTGAGAAAGGGTGTTGTTTGGACATGACCTCCTTTTATAACAATGTCATTGCCAAATCTTAGAAATGAAGTTCTAAAACGAGAGTCAAATGCTGGCAAACAATACGAAAATCGTCGCATGATACTGACACCTAGTTGACTTACTAGAGAAACAGGGGATCTGTCCATTCCTAGTATACCACTAACCGAGGTATCAGAGCCTAAAGATCCTTGATTATCGAATCCACAACCAAAAACTATGTCCCTTATGCTTTTAGGGGCTCGGGTATTGGATGGGAAGGTAAAAGTCTCTAAGGAAGCAACCCCTTTTGATGACTGTCTACTTAAATACTCTACTTGGTAGAAACATCCAGTAGCAGTACATCTAAACCATCTAGAAAGATTATGATTAAGAGGGAGTCTTTTGTAGGATCTGGAAGTTTTGGGGTCAAAAATAGGATACTTTTGTCTAAAACAGTGGGTGCAAGGTCTGCATTGTGTCCAAGTAAGACCACTACCTGTGTCAAAAATAAAGGTTCCTTTCCTTGGAGGGGTGCCAAAATCTATGTCCACTGTATAGAGACGATCGCGATAGGTCAGGGAAGGGCGGATGATATCTGGAAGAAGAGTACCATTTCCGACACTAGTTTTGCCTATCAACTTCAAATTAGAAGCTCGAGATTTAGAGATTTCAACGTCTGTTTGAAATCTTTCAAGATTATTAAGTTTCCTCATGTATAAACGAGACTCTAGGGAATCTCCATAGATGAGCTTCAAGCTAAAACCAGTTGGGTTTGAAAGAATGCATGAGAGGAGAGAGAGTGCCAAGAGGTTGCAAAACAAGCAAGGTGCTAGAAAAACTGCATTTCCAGTCATGTTTACCTATGAAGAATGAGACTTCTCTATTACATTTATAAATTTATAATGTTTAAATGGCTTTGATTTTCACTTTTTCTTGTTAATTTCCTACTTTTTGAAAAAGAGAGTATGGGAGTTATGTTGAAGTTTTCCACATATTTATTGTTCTCTTTTCAAATATGCATAATCAACATGACCAATGAATATTGCAAAAAACATTTATTTGGGGAGAATTATCACCATGCTAAAGCAGGCCATGAGTTATGCATGTGTTCCACACTACACCTATTATTTTTAATTTTGGGTTCTTGTCTCCTATATTTTTAATGTGTAATATTCTATTTATTTTTAGATATACCAAGTGTCATTGATGACGGAAACACCAGGGCAGATTGGAGATTTCTCTTACGCTTTGGATGATCACATGTGGAGAATTCTAAATTGTATAGAAATTTGATGAAAAAATAACTGACGCTTGTATCGTTCTCTCACAACCCTGTTTTCACTCACAGTTTAGGCTGCACCCATTTCACTCAAAGGTTTTTGTAAGGATTGAATTCTTGCTTGTTAAACAATCATTTACTCCAAAAGCTTAAACCATTGGACATAGTTTACCCTAAGTATTTATATTTCAACACACCCCCTCCGGTATAGGTAAGGATTGAATTCTTGCTTGTTAAACAATCATTTACTCCAAAAGCTTAAACCATTGGACATAGTTTACCCTAAGTATTTATATTTCAACACACCCCCTCCGGTATAGGTAAGATTTTGGACCTAACATGTGATTTTTTTTTTAATATTTAAGGTAACATCGATATTCAAATACATGAACTCTTACTTTGATACTATGTTAAACAACTACTCTATTGTGGGTCTTTATACTGATAGGAGAAGAAATTAGAAGAAGGGGAGGAAGCTCTTATAAAATCAATATTTCAAGTAAGTGTATTGGCATGCAATGATCAGTACTGCTGTTTCTCCCGGTAACCCAAGATGGCTTTGCTATTGAAAATCCATTCACAAAGATGAGTCACCCAAATCATCATGCAAAAAATATTGAAGAGGACATTTCCATAGACAACAAAAACAAGCACATTGGAAAAGAAATCTCCTAACTGCAGTTTCAGATTTGAGTGACCAAATTTATAGGACTTGATAAGAGGCAAAGTACTTTTACAATATGGAAAAGCAACCATTTTGACAGTAATGACAACATAACAGTGAAAGAGAATTTCAAAGTCACATAACAGATAGATTCTTACTTCTGGCCTTTCTTTTTCCATAGGTCTCCAAACATTCTGATCCCAGAACCTTTCCTCTTTCCATTCCCAAAACCATCATCACAGTAATCACCAAAACCCGGTGAGCCGACAAAACTGGTGAATCCACCAACTGGTGGCTCGAAGACACTGCCGAGATGCTTATCCATGGATCCACATCTCTCAGACATCCTTCTGCCATTCATATCCATATCCCCAGCTAGCACTGCTGCAGCAGCATCGGCTGCCTTTCTCCATTGCTCCGTCTGTATATTAAGCTTCTTCATTTCAGTTTCCAACGCCTCCTTTGCTGCTTCCGCAGTTTCCAGCTTTTCATTTAATTTAACTGCACAGCTTTTACTTGTTTCCAGCTCTTGTCCAAGTTGGTCCAACCTCAAAGTCATTTCCTGTTCCTTGGCTTGAGCTGATGATATTTCTATGGCTGCTTCATTCAACTGACTTTTCAGTCTCTCATTTTCTTGACAGAACACTTCTAGTTCCTTTTCTTTCTCCACTAGCTTAACTTCCAATAGATTTATCTCATCATTCTTCACAGCCAATTCATCAAATGGTGGCTTCTCAGGCTCTGAATTGATTGGTGATTCAGTCGAGATGTTGACTGGTTTGGTCTTGAAATCTTCTTGATCACTTGGTTGGCCAAATTCATCCTTAAGCTCCACTGTCACTTTTTCAACTGGAACTTCAAAAACATCAGTTTCTCTCTGATTGTCATCTTCATATGCTACACTGCTGTCCATTTTGTTGGATTCTTGGGTTTCAGTTGGAGGGTGATGCTTTTCTTGGATTCCCACTGGCATTGAAGTGATTGGTTTCTTGGTTGTTTTCTCCAATTCTGCTTGAACTTCTTTCTTTGCAGTCTCGGCTGAGGTCAACTGCATCTTCAGATTCTTGAGCTCCTCTTGTGCCTGCCCAAGTTGAGATTCCAAATCTGCAATCCGTGTTCCAAATTTCTTCTGATTCACTGAATCCAGTTGAGTACCTCTGGGAGATCGACGATCTCCTAGCTTCGGACTCTTGTCAGTAATTGGTCGACGATGTAGTGGATCGGAATCAGAACTGGATGTCCTTAGTAGAGGAGGGCCTCGGGGAGATTGCCTTTGCGACATTTCTGACCCTCTGACACCGATAATATTAACAAATTTCCATCAAATACATTTCATACAAACGCAAGTAAGGGAGATAGAGAAACACATATAAATGATTCAGACATCAATGGCTGCATCTGGGAAGATAGTTTATCATTCAATTCGCCACACTATCAAGTTAGCATACAATCCATGAAACTACAAAACTAGTTTGCAATGCATGACCTTTGTCCAAGAAGCAAACAGCATAAAGAGATCAATATTCCCTTAATAAACTGGAAACTGTTTAAGAGGGAATGCAAAAGAATGAATTTAATAAATAAAAACGAGAATGAGAAAAAGCCAATGCACCATTGAAAGATCATGTAACTGGACAAGAAATTTGTGTATTTGGATAAATAGAAAATAAAAAAATTTCTACCATAAGTGATATGGTGGTCTCAAGGAGGTCCTATATATGCACTTGTTGAAAACCTGAGGAGGACCATTATTCCCCTGGCCCCAATTTTGGGTTCATCACTGTAGAAGATGATTATGTAGCAATAACATACTTTATTACAACTGCAAAATCCAGTATTTTAAGAATTGGAGACGAAATAAAAGAAATTGAGTATGCCACAAGGACCACAATGCTCTAAAATATTTAAGGTACAGTTTGTAGCATTTGCCAGTTCATGATGAACCATACCCTGTAGCCAGACTACAATTGAGAAATGAAACAACCGCCTACAGCCACAGTAACACCAAAAACAACAAGGGGTAACATAGCAAAAGCGCTGGCATGCTTTTGCACCTTTTTGCACATGACTTGAAAGTCGAAAGTACTGACGAGGAAAATCAGCAAAGACCACATGGTAATAAGAGAACCTCTCAATTGTTTTTGGACATCTGATGAACTGCCAACTTACTCCTAGAGTTATCTTTTGTCTACTTAATAAAGCATAAACAAGAAATTCAATATGCAGGCTAATATGTCATGAAAAATAAAATCAAAAGGACGTTAGTTATGTGGATCCAGATGGTTACTGTAGGGATATATGGGTATCATTGTATTTGTACATTATTTAAAGGATGTTTTCATAAAGATTAAGCTTGGATCCCCTTTCAGTAGATTATTCAATAGCTTTTGTAGCCTTTCATGTCAACTTGGAGGAATTCAGATCCAATGTTGGCATGATGAAAACCGCATTAACCAACTAACAAAAAGAAGCGACACATGAAACAAGCAACACAGGCCTAAGGCATTGGCATACTAAAATTAGGAAAAACCAATGATTGGTTTTCAGCATACATTAGAACTGCATATGTAACAGCCACAAGAGACAAAATATTATGTTCAAGTTCTCTAACCTTGATCTTGGCATTTGACCACTTAAAGGTAATTGATAACAGAAGAGCAACAAGAAGTAGTTTGCTCAAGAGCTTGTGACTTGTGAGCTGCAAAACACGAAGACTAGTCAAAAGGAAATGAAATTACCATTTGGGCAAAATATGTGACATTAAAATGGATAACACCTCCCAAAGAAGTTTTTTGTTTAACTTTCTGTAACCTATACAATCTCAATGCAAGGAACTACAGTGAACATTTTTACTGTACAGCAAATGCAGAGACCTTAAAGGGGGAGGCTAACCGCTCCATGATACAAATTTCCATTCTAATGATAGTAGAAAATACCTAAATGATACTAGTGAAAAGCATAAGAATAGCACTACTAGAAATTAGTTTCTTTTTAGGTTCTCATTTTATCTTGACAAGACAAAAAAGGATCAACACCGACAACGTGATGGGTCAACATATAAATGTGGTTCAAAAGTATTATCCGTCTAATTGGAACTTTCTTTCTCAAAACATTCAAAAAATTTATCATATTGAGGATTGAAGTAGTATTTAAATGAAATGGTTTTTAGCAAAGTTAATTTCCCAAATAAGACCAATCAAATGGTGATTAATTATTATCAAACCATATTTACAAGGACTTCAACATTTAAATTAAAACTGCATGTCAGTTCAACATAATATGATATTTCCAATTCACCATATAACAAGTCTCATTTAAATAAAATGTACCAAAAGTAGCTCAAACCATTTAAATCTTTTCAATAAAAGGTTCAGTTCAGCATGTTGTTGTGAAGGGAAGCCCTTTAACAAGAAGTTATTTTATGGATCAGGTGCATCACGTCATCATAATGGCGTGGTGAAACCGACCAATAGAAATAGAATATTAAGTCAAAAGTGACACCTGACCACCTCAACAAGGGAGAGGGACTCAACTAATAGAAGAAAGAAAAATGAAACCCAATCTTTGCATTCCCAAGGTGATTGAATCTCACTTTTGATTATATATCCTTCTTCTACTGGTTGGATCCACCACATCACCATATTAACGTGATGAACCTGATCCATGAAATAATTTTACTCAATTTAGGGTAAAATAATATATTTTTATTAGGAAAAAGTCATATTGAATCCAAAGATTTTTATTAGTATACGTCATCATAGTGACGTGTTATGAATCAAAGAAAAAATCATATAAGAATTTTTATTATTGTTGGGTATTTTGTCGAATGATAGAGGAAATAACCAATTGGATTGAATGAATTACTAAGGTAGAGCTCACACAACTCAAAGAAAATTGAGTAGAACTCAAATGAAACACTCTTGATTATTATTCTTTGGCTCAGTGTTGAATGTTTCAAGAATACATAACTTCAACACATTTATAAATGACAACCAAACATTCTGTATCCAAAGAATCTTTGTGTGTATTAATGCATCACATAAGAAATGAATTAATTTTAACAACAAAAAAATAAATAAATAATTTTAACACTCCCCTTAATGCATTTTCTATTTTGTATAGTTTCTTCTGTTTTTTAGTCCAATGACAAAGTGACACATATGATACTTTACTACTTTATTGTTTTAATTTGTTATATTATTTTTATGATGTTACAAGATCTATTACTAGAATTTATTTTTTGATATGAAACCAACAAGTTAATTTTCCGTACCATAGTCTTATCCTTATTTAATAAGGAAAAAATAATAAAATAATATACAAGGCTATGGTACCAAAAAAAAACTTTTCGATATCATACCGAAAAGTAACTCATAAACATAGATCTTTGGTTGACTCTTTTGCGGTCGTTGATCATAAAAATAATAAAATAAACTAAAATAATAATATGAAAAAACTTTATGCACCACATTTTTATTAAACGAATAGAGGAGATATGCTATTGAAAATCAACTTTTCAATGACATAATTGGATCCTAAAGAGATACATAACAGAGGAAATCAAAGAAGTAATGGAAGGGTAAAAAGAGATGGACAAAGCACATCTAGCTAAGTTCATCCATAAAAGAGAAGAAAATTGGGTTGGGGTTGTTGATGGTGGTGGTCGTGGGTGGTTTTTTTTTTTTTTTTGGGGTGGGGGTGGAACACATTCACGTGCTTGATTCTCCAGAAAAATAAGCAATAAGCTACAATCGAAATTACAAATACAAACACTATCCGGAAACTACAATTACAAGCAGCAAATATATGAAGATAAAAAAGCGCATACAAATAGATACTTAAGAGAGAGAGAGAGAGAGAGAGAGAGAGAGAGAGAGAGAGATTATAAGGTGTATTCATGGAAACCCATTTAGAATCAAAGACATACAACCTCATGGAGAGAAGGTAAACTAACAACTGAAAACTTGAATCTCACCGTGAAATTTTTTTGTATCAGCTTCTGCTACGAGAACTGGGTTACAAGAACTCCATCTTTAAGAGAAACTTTTGCATGTAAAAGAGATTGGAGACCATAAGAAGAATGAACACATGAGTAGATAAAGAAAAAGGCTTTAGGTTTCGGGGTATGGAAATCGAATGCTATTTATAAAAGTACATCTTTTGGCATTTCATAGCCCTGTACGAAACACGAGAACATGAGGTAAACTCTATTACCCACCACAAGACTACATACAGAGCAGAACAGAGCGCAGAGAGAAAGAGAGAGAGAGAGAGAGGTGTTCAACTTTCAAGTTTGAAGGTTGAATTAAAAGGTGGTGGGGGGTAACTGGTTATTATGAGGGGTAATTCTCCTGTACCCAAAAAAAAATTCATATACTAAAAAATATTATTTTTTAAAGTTTATTTATTATATATTTTAAAAACTAAAGTTACAGTTGTTCAAGATAAATTATGATCAATTATAAATACTCATAATTAATTGTAAAAATTATAATTTTTATAATTAATTATAATATAAATATTTATATTTTATAACTCAAAAAACTATTACTCTATTTTAATAAGCTATGAATTTCAATAACGAAACAAGCACAGTTATCGAAGACGGTAGTGAGTGGTCTTCGGCTATTATGTGACTACTGTTGGAGAGGTGCTGGGAGGAAATGGACAAAGGGGAAATTTTGAACGCTGAAGGATGGGGACAAATGAATTCTTGGGAGTCCCAACCTGCAGAGTAATATATCTTTCTCTTCTTTTGCTGTTGTCCTTTTGCTCCTTTTCAAACACATTCTCTCTCTCTCTCTCTCTCTCTCTCTCTCTCTCTCTCTCTCTCTCTCTCTCTGCTTTTGGACAACAGTGCGTGCATTTAAACTTTCGAGTTTCAACTTTGAGCTGTCCCACAGATAACAAAAACCGTTTGAACTTTTGAATAAACATTAAAAAAAAAAAGAGAGAGATGGAATTAGATTACAGCGCCTAAAAAAAATTTCAGTACTGCACCTCTATTTATCATATTTATAGGTCATTTTATTATTATTGTGATATTTTAAAAAGTGATAAAAATAATTATCACAAATATGATAAAAACACTCACAATAGTGATAAAAATATTCACAAAAAGATAAATCACTCAAAAAAATGACAAATTTTTTAATTATAAAATAACCCACAAAAATTATAAAAAATACCTATGAAAATGATAAAAATTAAAGATACAGTACCAAAATTATATCTTAGATACCATAGTCTAACTCCAAAGAGATGGGTAAACTTTATTATATAAGAAGTTAACTGATGTCGTACCCAATTTTAGTTGGATTTCATAACACTTCACCTCTTTATAGTTTAATTATAACTACATAAACATAAATCTTATGTAGTTTTGGACTAGTCTAAATTACTAGCACCATTAATTGTAAAGACAAAATGACATGTTTACCCCATTTACATGTGTCAATAAACTTTAGAACAATGTTAATTGTTGGATAACAATGGATCCACTAATCTGACTCAATTTGGTGCACATAGTATTTTTCTAAATTTTAAATTAAAAAAATCACATTGCATATAACAAAGAATTGGGTTACTCACCTACTATAACTGATGGACCAAACTCAAGAGCCCAACACATGTTATAAGCCGGTCCGAGTTTATAGTCCGACTCTAATAGATCCAACAAATACAGTCCAATGTGAACAACCCAATCAAGCTCATCAGACTCAAGGAGCTACTACATCAACAAGGAGCAAACAAGGTCATCCAAAGCCTTATTTTTCTAGCCTCCTTGGAATAAGGGTCATTCAAGAGACTCATTTTCGCCGCCTTGGAAGGAGTCAATCATCCCCTCATTCTTTGATCGAGTCTCATGGAGAGCACCGTAAACCACCTCGCCTGTTGAAAAGAAGTCACCAAATTCAACAACTAACCACTTGGTTATTAATATCTCGCGCCAAATCTGTTAGAAAGACGACTATAAATTGTAAACTTCACCAATACTTGGGGGCATATCACACTTTGTTAAGCACAACTCTCTCCTCTCCCTCGCAACTTGTAGTTCTCTGCTCTTCTTGCACATTTGAGTTAATAAAAATACCGGACGACCCTAACCATTCAAAGTGGACGTAGGTTACGTTGACCGAACCATTATAATTCTCGTCTTTTCTCTAATTTAACTACTGCATTTATTACTCATACTTGACAGGTGGTGTACAAAACTAATTTGTGCATCATCAAAAACACTTCGGCCCAAGCGTGATCTTTCCATGGATAGTAAGTGTTTTTTATCAAAGACCCGAAACATGTTTCTTTACTCAAAATTTTGGCCTTAATGATCCTATTTCCTTTTCTCCAGAGGAATTAGCTAAAAAAACCCAAGTGTTAAACCGACTTATTGGGTTAAAAAGTCACAATAGCCACCACTGATCTCCAGTTTCTCCATCCTCAAGCAACCCCCAATTGTAGAACTGCCATTTTTTTCCCAAGACAATTTGTTTAACATCTAAATGGTAATATACATTATAAATTATATAAATATATGTAATTTATATCAATAATTGACATGTTGTGAGGCCTAAAACTCCCGACACCACCTATTTCCTTATTGCGATCAATAAGATAAATCGTTCTTGAAACCAATTATAGATTTAGCCTTTAGGGTCATTAATGATGGAGTGAGAACCTTTCCAATAATGAATCGCGAGCCAAGGGTTCGGAAAAATGAGATCAATTTTAATATATCGTCTATTACTTTCACTTAATAGCATATTATCAACAATGAAAACAAGTGAGGCTTTCACTTTATAAAATAGATCTCTTCTCTATAGAATGGGAAAAACTAAGTACCCGAAAAATAAAATTTTAGTACCGTATAGAAAATTTAAAAAATAAATAAATTATAGAGAGTAAATTTTACCCCAAAAGTTAGTAAATAAACCCAAAAAATTGTAAGTGCACTCTAAAAGTTAGTAAAAATCTACTAAAAAATATGGTAACAATTTTTTTTTCCAATACGATAGTCAAACTCCTATACTATAGAGTAAAATTGGGATAAAAATATTACATGATGTTTTAAAACATTATCATTTTAAAACTTTATGAAAGAGGCAAGCATAAATATTTAGATATATTGGAGTTGTTGGGGGTCCTATTGTTGTCTATTTTTCAACAGCACATGCTTCAAATCTTTAACTAAAATTATAGGTGATTAATCATAATTTGTACCCATCCTACAATATTATATAGCAGCTAACAAATATGAAATCTTTCCAAGTCTACCATCCATTGGATTTCCAAGTTTTGTTCAGTTCAAGTGGAGATAGGGGAGATAAGTTAATCAATATTCCACATAAATATTTCGAGTTTCTGAGAGTCTTTTTTTGATATAATTTATTGAGATTTATCGTGATAACTAATCAATGCATTTGCAAAGAGGGTGGCCGTGGACAAAGTGGTTTCCTCGAAATTTTGCCAATTTTCATGAATTTATTACCTTTGTGAGAGTTGAATATCTTCTAATTAGCAACAAGAGATGGTGTAGTCCTAATTGTCGCTGAATAATAAGGGCAGTGGTGGTGATGGTGGTGGTGAGAAGGGTTAGTCCATGACAATGGAAGTGAATCCAAAGAAGTGGTTTAGCTTTCTTTATACCAAGGACATTTCATGTGAAGCTTAAATGTCATTCAACCTACTCCCAACCAACTTCCTCATTCCTCCATTGCCCTCTCTTTATTGGCTGATATTTTTCACGCTCCTATTTGACCAAAGCCTTCGACCAAGATTTTAATTTTGATTTCGATCCATTATTCATTTGAATTCAAAAATATAAACTCTCCAAAAAAAAATTGTGTTGGGGCATCTATATAATTTACTAGGCCCTACTCAATAAATAAGCATGAGAAAGCATAAACAAGATTTGAACATTTTTTATTCATCCAAAAATTGAATAATCGTGGAAAATTAATAGTGGTATCACATATGGTCTATAAGTTTTGTCATGTCAAAATTTATTCGACATTGTTTACACCCAAATATTGAATATATTCAGGCAGGGGCGGAGTCAGAAATTTTATTCATGATGGGTACTTAAATTATGCACTCTAATTTTTTTCTTCTTAACCAATCACGCTATATAATATATTTATACTTATTATATCACATTTGATACATGAAGTGCCTTAACATAAAAAAATGCCAAAAAAATAATGCATATTGTGTATGTAAAAAAAATGATTAATTATGACAATGGTAAAAATAGAGCTAATTTCCATTTTTTGTAATTAAAAAATATCAATTATTTTCTAACAATTTATTAAATTTATTCAATAAACGATGTTTCAAACACACTGAGATATTAGCAAAATAAAACTACTAAACTAAAATTTAAGAGCCAAATATAGTAAAAAAAAAATTAAAATCAATTGATACATAGTAAAGATTATAATCAATATTTGAATAAAAATAGAGACGATTTTTAGGTCAATTATAAGAATTTGCACTTGCAAAAATTCATAAATAATAAAATTAAAATCCTCTGGAGAAAGACTTAATAAGATAAAAAAAATTGTCTCATTGTTCTATTTGCCTTTACAATACTCCTCAATATTACCAGTATTGTAGAAAAATTTAAAACTTCATAACAAACCCAAAAAAAATTAAGAAGATATGAGACACCAAAATCAACTGACAACTTAATCAGTTAAAAAATTGAATTAATTCCAAATTTCAACAATTTGTGATCCATCCAAAGTTTTGAGGATTAATCCTAACTCAATTCCATTGAGTTGTAACTTAACGTGATTAAATTGTAATTTTTTGTATGATACCCAGATTTCAACGATATAATTTTTTTGGTTTTAAGTGGACTTAGTTTTTTAATTCTTTTGGGTGGACAGTGATGGACCTAGCATTTTTGTCTTTGTTTTTGGGTGGGCACAAGTGATATATTATATAAATATATAATATATATACCTAGGTAATAAATTTTTTTTAGAAGGGGGCATTTGCCCACCTTATACCATGCATAGCTCCGCCCTTGAATCCAAGGATGCCATGTGGCAAGAT